CTGCTATTTTTCTTACAACTCACAAAAAGGGTTTTAGACATACATCATGAATTATGAAAAAAATTTTAACCGGGAGTTTAAAAATGTCTTTACGGTTTCATACTACCTAAGGCTTTAATAACATTTCAGAAAGAAATGGCATTCCCTCTATACTCAACAATACCTGCTGAGTTGGCAACCTTCCCATTAACAATCTCCAAAAATAATGAAACTTTGAAAAAATGCTCGTTAACTGCCAAGTAGTTAATCCTGAATGTTGACCAGTAAATGGAACTATAACCAACAGCAGTTGTTACCACTGTGAACTAGTCAAGCAGTTTTCCAGTGTCTTTGCTAGCCAAGAAAATGAAATATGGGTGCTATATTTAAAATGTACACAATGAGACTGGCAATAAGGTAGGTGAGGACAAACCATTTAACTAGTAAGTTGAATCTTTCAGTTAATGTAGGCACTAGGTAAACTCATAATTCAGTTCCTTCATGAGCAAGTGTACAGCCCTACTCCTACTACAGTATCTCTGTGGGAACACTAAAGTTGTCCTTGATACAACTATTTTACTGCCATGATTTGCATATTACTTCCCTTTCTGTGTCTGTGTGATAAAGAACTTCACTCATGCAGCACACCAACTCTCCTCTTCACTTGCCTGTTCTGTTTGCTTCTGGATCATCCAAACCTTTCCTTGACCCACCAGTCCATCTACCTGTTCCTCACTGTATACCTACATTACACATCAGGGATGGGGCCACAGTTCAGTGGCAAAGCATCTGCGTACGTCGCATATAGAAGGTCTTGTGTTCAATTCCTGGCTGCTCCAGTTAAATTGATCAAGTCGTAGGTAATGTGAAAGACCTCAGCTTTAGTCCCTAGAAAGCCACTGCCAATCACAGCAGATAATACTGACCTTGATCGACCAATGGTATAAGGCACCTTCATATGTTTATTTAACTACTGATTTCTACTTGCCTTTCATACTTATGATTTTGCCATTTCTTCTCTTAGTTAAATTCTCTGAAAAACACTCTCTGTGATAAAGGCCCTTACTCTGCATGGACAGAGGATGACTCCACTGTGTGACACTTGACGAAAACACTGCGGGTTTCATTGGAGATAGACACAGACTGAAGAAAACTAACAAAAGTTCTTTGGGTATAAAAACAGGCCACAACACTAAATACAAGGGATCTAAAATGCGCAGAATAAGAGACACAGTACATTTCACATCGCCGAAAGAAAAAGAATAAGCTTTGAGGGTATGAGGAATAGTTTTCCTGGTCAATTATTTGTTGACTTTAATTAAGGCAACTCCAGACTCTGGTTAAACAAAATCCATGGGGTTAAACAATACAAGTGTCCTTGGGTGACGGTAAATGAGGTCACAGAGACAGAAAAATGAACTAAGGTCCCGATCACACAGACCGGAAAATGCGGGGAGGAAGCGTGGCTGTTTGCCCCGGAGCAAAATAACACGCGGCTGCTTGATCACACGTCCCGTCGCGGTCCCGTGGTTAGGGGGTGAGGTGCCGATCACACGGCTATCCTGCAGCACGGCAAAGAAGCGGTGCGGCGCGATCACAGCAGCAATCGCTACTAGCGATTCGCTAGGCACCGCTTCCATGGCAAATGGGTGGGGTTTTTACTGAAGTTTGTGCGCGTGTGCCGTTGGGCGCTTTTGCGCATCCTGCGGAGACTTGGGGAGGGGACCCTTGTTTGCAAAGGAACATCGGCGGGCGCCGGATGCCACGGCATTCCACCGGAAATGCGATCAGATGCCCGCCCTTGCCCCGCGGTGTCCGGAAACCAGTACCTCGTAAGTACTAGTTTTTGAGTCCGCATCTTTGGTGGGAAGCCACGGGATAGCCACGGGAGCACTACGCTTCCCAGATGCTGCGGTGTGATCGCGCCCGGAAAATCCGGCTATCATCCGTATCTTTAGCGTGGCAAATGCTCCGTGTGACCGGGGCCTATAGTAGATTAATCCAAGGAAGCTGGCCTAGCCTTAGAGATCCGTGACCGGGGCCTATAGTAGATTATTCCAAGGAAGCTGGCCTAGCCTTAGAGATCAGGTCAGTGAAATCAAGCAATGTACCTGCAAGAAGCAGTTGGGATTTTCTTCAATCCCTTCACTTTGCTTAAAAAACATGCAAGAAATCTGTTATTTCAAAGCTTTTCTAAAATTCATTTGTTTATACCAAACATTACAAGGAAACAAAATTAGTATTTAAAGGATTGATAAAAGCAAATATTAATAAAAAAGATTTGATGGTTAGATTGGCCTCTTTCACATAACTATTCTAAACCAGATGTTACCCGTTGCTGGCCTGATTCTAAGTAAAGTGATACAGGGACAGGGGTTTCATACAGCAAATTTCATTCCGTTAATGAGCCATCTCTGAAGCGAACTGGCCATTTCAAACAGTGCCATGCCCCTCCCATCATTTTTCACTGTCCAATCTTCCTTGATTCATTTTGTGTGTGTGTGTTCTATGTTGAGTGTTATAGTGTTAAGCCAATAGTAAAAGGTAAGGGTTCCCTTGCACGAAAGCCAGTTGAATCCGACTCTAGGGTTGCGGTGCTCATCTCCGTTTCAAAGCTGCAGAGCCAGCGCTGTCCAAAGACGTTTCCGTGGTCATGTGGCCGGCATGACTAAGCACCAAGGCGCACGGAACGCTGTTACCTTCCCACTGAAGTGGTCCCTATTTATCTACTTGCAATTTCTTGCTTTCGAACTGCTAGGTTGGCAGGAGCTGGAACTAGAGACGGGAGCTCACTCCGTCATGTGGCACCCCTGGGTCTCAAACTGCGGAACTACTGACCTTCCACAGCCTGCAGTTCAGCGTCTTAACCACTTGAGGCACCACAGCCCCTCGTTAAGCCAATACTGAAGTGTTATATTGGTGTAGTGCTATAGTGCTCACTTAGAACATTAAAAAAAATTGAGGAAGACTGCACAGTGAAAAAGGGTGGGGGAAAGCGCAGCACAATTTGAAGCACTGCAGACATTTTAAACAGCACACTACAGTGATTCAGAAGTGCGAAGAAGAGGCAAAAATGGAAGAAAGCAGTTTACTTCAAGAACATCTCAACCACGCTTTGCTAACTGGATGCAAGCAGCTTTGTATGAAAAGGTAAATAAAATCCATTAGCAGCTGTGCTAAAACGGTTGTGTCTGAAATGACACCAAAAAATCCATTACAACCAGCTACCACCATGGATTACAAAGGCTGTCTGAAAGGGGCCATTGTTTCTACTGCAATGAACAATAATTCTGCTATACTGATGTTGCTCAGTGCACATATGTTCCCTTTGAAGGCCTTTGATTTGTCTGAACATTCCCAGGCCATCATTTGAATCAGTTAACACTTCACTTCAAAAGTTACCAAAGCCTTGGCCTGAAACTAGTCAATGTTTCAGTTCCAAAAACTCCTAAAAACATACCAAGTTAGACAGAATGTTTGAGAACAACTGAAATTACCACTGAATACCCACAACCTGCATCCACCCATCTGGGAGTTGTGGTAAATAAAGCCCTCCAGCATAGGGAGGGAGATCACTTACAGGCAGGCTTCAGCAATGTTATCCATCACAACCCTTTAGAAACTAAACACTAACCATTCCAAACTCCTTGGAAGCACTCCCCTTTTTATCTCTTATTTATTAGATAAATCAATAAATACTCTCTTAGGTTTTTCTTTTATAAATTCCTACAGGGCCCAGTTTTCACCCCACCACTTTCTCAGCAGACTTCTTGAACCTTTTCAGATAGAAAATCTCGGCCTTTGAAGAATAAGCACCAGGGATCTCTCTGAAAGCTCTGGGCTAAAGCCAATTACCTCAAGGTCATAAATGGTCGTCATCTGGATGCAGATATCTGCACATGACAGGATCAGCCAAAGAACAGGTCAAGAGCCAGCTCATAAGTTGATCGATGAGAAGATCATTAGTACCAGCAGACAAAAACCAAATTAAATCAAGGCCAGGTGAAGCCAACTGAGTAATGTAAATCTAGGGTTAGGAAACTGAGCCACACACTAAAGATGACTAATGGAATGCGACAGTGATGGAACAGCTAAACAGTCAGTGCCACATAGTAGCTAGAAGCATAAGTGGGAAAATTCTTAGTTCGAACCTTAAGAAAGCTGGCTTTAGCAAAGCCACTGTTCCTTCGCTTGCCTATTCTCTGACACCTCCCCATCCCCCGGCTTTCATACAAGAGATAACAGTACTGGTCTGCCTCATACAGCAGCTGTGAGAATTACTGAAATAATGCCTTTGAAGCACTTTGAACACTCTGTAAGCTACATAAAAATACTAGAGTGAAAGCTTTGTTCACCAGCACTTGGTAGACTGGAAAACTTGGTTAAGAGGCATGGTAGGAATCTGGGGCCCACTCTTCCCAGCCCAGTGTCAGCGTACAGATAGTTTTATCAAGTGGGCAACAGCAATGCCCAGGATCTGGCCAGCACACAAGTCTGCTCCATGCTGCTGCTGACCAGTGGGGCCAACTGGCCGGTGGGGAGAACGCAGCAGTGTCAAGTGGGCAGCTGCCACAGCCAGGGTCTGTTCAGGACCTCTCACCCGCCCCAGTGGCCAGCAGTAGCAGTGCTAACTGGGAAGCTGTGGGCTGTGGATTCCACCCAGGTTTCAAACATGGTAGCTTCCCATTTGGTACTCCTGCCTGCTGACCACCACTCCAGATAAAAGGTTTAGCTGGCATTTTTTTATTAACCAGAAATCCCCATTCTCCATGGATGCTGGTTAACAAACGTTTTACAGCATTACGATCGATGGGTCTAACGTGGGTTCATAGATCATTCAGATATTCCAGCCCACTATGACAGGAGAAGAACACTCCTGTTTAGGTGTGATCTGGTCCCACAGAATTAAGCCCTCTAAGGAGTCCATTACCATTTAAAACACAGACTGATGCCATCAGTATCAGTCTAAGCTGTGTTATGAAGTAATATCAAAGACGCCACGACAATTTTCATATACCTACCAGCCACGTTGATCTTTTCAGCAGTTCCTGAACTGGGGACAGCAGTGGCAGTACTGTTTGTAGAATTTGTAGCAGTGCCATTGATTACAATGTTCTCCACTTTGGACTCGAGCTTCCCAATACGCTGCAAGATGTTATCCAGTAGGACAGCAAGTGTTTTCTTCAGATCTAAGTCAGGAAGGAAATGAAAGCCAGTTAGCATTTATTATTTACTTCATTTATAGTTCTCCTCTCTCCCAATAGGGACCCAGAGTGGCTTCCATTGGCTTTCTCTCCTCCATTTTTTCCTCCCAATAGTAACCCTGTAAGTCTAGGGCGAGAGTGTGTGACTGGCCCAAGATCACCCAGCAAGCTTTCATGGCAGAGTGGGGACTCGAACTTAGGTCTCCCAGATTGTAGTCGAATACTCTAACCACTACATCACACTGGCTCTCAAAAATCATAAAACTATATATAGATCAATTAAATAAAAGCAATAATGATACAGCCAACTCATCAAACATACTCTGATCAACCCTAATTTGAAAGTTTAAAGATCCCCGTTTACTAATTAAAGGCAAGTACACTTCCAGAACTGAAAGTTCAGGCACATTTGTTAGATCCCCAAGCATCGAGAATAAATCCACGTTTTCAAGAAAAGCAAAATTTATTTCAAAGCGTTGAAGACATACTCAAACACGTTCTTTGTTAGAACTGGGGATACACAGGTAGGGCGAGCATAATAAAGGAAATTCAAACAGATACATATCCAATGAATACTATTCCCGCTGGCGGGTTAATGAAACGGTTGCGCGCCCAGTCCATGGGAACCAGGCAGAACATCAGACAAAACACAGGTGCAGTTCTCATGAGATAGCAATAGGCAAGCATTACAGCATCTTCTCCCCCACACATCCACCAGTAGTTATCTTATGCATTCCAGCACAGAAGCAGGATAATAGAAACAAGCCGGGTGCAACAGGGTAAGGATATGTACACAGAGGTCACAGAAAACAGAATGGCAGCTTGCTGACAACATTATATGTTGGGTATACAAATTCGGTCCCCCTCCCCCACATAAAAGAGCTGTTTCTGTTTATGAACCAGAACACTCCAACAATGTGCTTGCTGTCAAATAATGGGCTGGTAGAGCCATTATTTGTAAACCATCTTGAGCCAAGAAGAAAGGCAGGATATAAATATTTTAATAAATTAATTAAATTTTAAAAACCCACCCAAAAGCTCCAAGTCAGCAGAGGGATTCTTGCCAGTAGAGTGGAACTTTCTCTCCCTGCTGCCCAGAATGCTCCCCCACATGCAGTTCTTCAGGGACAGAGGGCCTCCAGGAAAAGGATGGGGCAGGGCCAGTAACAGGTTTCTGTGGGCCCTTTGGTAGAGTTCCTTACTCCTCGACTACCACTGCTTATCAATCTTTCTCCATGTTTGGATACACAATATCTTAGCAGGATGGTGTGTTCTTCCTCTGGTGTTCTAAAGTGTCATGTATCACAACTGGAGAGGGGCATCTCTACTACCCATTTTATCTGATATTTCTATATTATTAGATGATCTTTAAAGATCACAAAATGCCTGGAAAAGCAATTTATTCTCTGACAAACAACATAAAAGAATTTGCATGTATTTCCAGTTTGCAGTCCTTCTCACAACACTTTTTTGAAACATCTATTTGATTCTAATGGCTTTTACAGCTAAAACATTTGAATTACAGTACATATAATCATTGACTTTAGAACAAAAAGGGATATTTCTACAAAGAAAGCTAAGCAATCCATTTTTTGTTTAAAACCAGATACCCCTTCTATTCTTTACACATGACGCAGAGTCTTCTAAATGCATGAAGATCCCCCCCCCCATTATTTGTCTTACTGCTCAAGATGGTAAGTGCATAACTTTGGAAACTATCCCAGCAAAGTGAGTTGCAAAACATGCAGGGATGCACAAGAAGTAAATAATTTTTTTCACCTTGCACCCTTCGATTCACACCATCATCCACTGAACTCACCCCTTCCCCTCCAAAAAAAGCCCAAAGCCCTGCTCTGATTTGGCTCCTAATAATTTGCTATAGGAGGGCTCAAGGATAGCTACAGGCACTCAGGCTGGAATGCAGTACAGTTGCCAGCCTCCAAATGGAGCCTGGAGATCTCCAAGAATTAAAACTGATCTGGTGAAAGGCAGAATGCAGAGGCTGCTGCTGCTGCCCACCTATTTCCAACCACTTTTGAGTACTCCTCCCATGGCAAAAACAAAATGAAAAAAAAAACCTCCTACTTTATGTGCTGCTTATGAGGAGACCTGATGCTTGGCACAAGCAGACAGGCTAAGGCACAAAAAGGCCATGTGCTTTTCCCAACTGTCTTTGAACATTTCCCCCCCCCAGCAAAAATAAAGCCCCCAAAGCTCCTAACTTATGTGCTGCTGCTGAGAAGAATCAATGGCTGCCTGGCACAAGCTAGCAGTCTAACAAGCAAAAAGGACCAGACCATGTGCTTCAGAGCCTGCAGGAGCTTCATGTACCCAGCAAACTGCAAAGGGAAAGCTGGGGAGGGAGGGAGACTCACAGCCTCATTGGCAAAGCTGGGGAGGGAGGGAAGATTCCCTTCCTTATTGGCAAAAGCTGTTATTGGGAGTGAGCTCCCTGGCAGCTCTCATTGGTCAGCAACTGACTGAGTAAGCCCTGTTTTGATGTGGGGCCTGGGATGGGGGGTAGTCTGAGGTCTACTACATGGGGAGGTAATTGGCAAAAATTGCCAGGCCTCCTTCCTATAGCAGAAACTATATATTCTCCCTTTTATACTGCAACATTTATATCACATGATTATGACCACATTTATCACTAATTATCACTACAGTACAACACCACCAAACATAAGAGGAAATATAGGGGGGAAATTCTTTAAGACAGGAGGAAGTCGGATGGGGACCAAGTATACATTTGGAAAAGGAATATCAAACAGGAATAAGACTACATGTCTTGCATAGTCCTCCTTTTAGCCATATCTGACTCCAATATGCTGCACTTTCCTTGACAAAATACCAAGCTAAGTTGTATAATTTAAGAAGCTTAAGACTGTATTATATTAGTGTTTTGTGCACTTAAGTTATGCATGGCATGTCACACTGTGGCTAAGTTTATCAGTCTGAAGTTTCCAGTTAAAAATTTCCAGGTCATCTGTTAACATGATGGGTGGCCTAACCTTTGTTCCCATGAAACCAACAAAGAACCATTCTAGGATTAGAAGATGTGGACATTGTAAGTGTTGTAACCTAACTCAAAATATGAAAAGTTTTATCAATCCCTTTGGCAAAAAGGAATACACTTTAAACAACTACACAACGCGCAATTCACATATGGTTATATATGCCAACAGAAGTTCTTGTAATAAGATATGTGTAAGCAGGGCTCTTTTTGTAGAAAAAGCCCAGCAGGAACTCATCAGCATAATAGGCCACACCCAACAGCAGGAACTCATTAGCATATTGGGCCACACCCCTGACAGCACAGATCATTAGCACATTAGGCTGCACCCCCATGTTACCAGAAGTGTGGTTATCCAGCCACACCCACCTTTTGCTTGTTAATCTATTTACCTTGTTTGTTGTCAAAACCCAGGGCCTTTTTTTGTAGCAGAAACTCCTTTGCATGTTAGGCCACACACCCCTAATGTAGCCAATCCTAATGAGTTTCTGCTGTTGGGTGTGGCCTATTA